CTATCAGCAAGGTTGACAAAAGCAAGGAGTATTTTATCATGTAAATATACCTGTTCTACCAGCACACCAAGACCCATTCCATCCATGAAATCTTTTATCCCAGTTCCGCCACTTGACTTTGTTGCACTGCGAAATTCTTCTCTAGCCTTCTCGGGGTTTATCTGTTGTAGAACTATAAATTTAACTCACTGAGTATGAGGTACAATAGCAGAAAAATAATTTTATCTCCTGGATACTTGAGAGAGAAGAAAAATCACAAATAAATTAGCAGATACCCATTTAGGAAGCTTTCTCACATACCTCAAGAGCGAATAATGGAGAATCAGGTCCTTCAACTGGTACAAGTGTCCCACCTGTCAAATCCTAGATAAGAAAAAACAGTAATAAACACAAGGATATCGGAACTAAATACTTCAAATTGAACAGATATTTGAAAGCAAACAAAATAATCTTAACTCTTAAAGACATACCTGAGCAAAAGAGTCACTCAAGGAATGAGCTGGATCAGTTGAAACAACAAGAGTAGGGTGTCCATTGTTCGCAAATTTTACTGCAAGTGAAGCAGCACAACTGGTTTTTCCAACACCACCCTTTCCACCTAGCATGTAATACTTCCGCTGCGTCTCGGAGACCATCTCATCAAACCCAGCAACATTTTCAGTTGGAGCAGCAACTGATCTCACTGCCATAGAACATTGAATATGAACTAGTCAACCCTGATTTGCTGAAGCTCTTTTCAGGAGAATATACATAATAGACAACTATTGGCAGAATTATGTGCTTTTATGGCAATAAACCAAAATTAATTCCTAACTTTCTATTGCCTTCAAAAACTTAAACTTTCAGCAATTGGTCTAAACTAGCCCATTGAGTTGCACTATAACAAGGACAAAGTATTGTTTTTTATCTGGTAAGTTAATCTCTTACTTTAATAAAGGATTTTCGGAAAACAGAAAACTACGCTAAAAATCATCAGAAAACAATCAAAACCCAAAAGAACCCATCGATCAAAGAGCTAGTAATTTGAGATTTAAAAGGAACCTGCGAGCAAAGGAATCACCTTGAAGTGAGTTCTTAGACCTTTTTGGTCTGATGGAAAGAGAGAGAGCGGCGGGGATGAGCGAGGTTGGCGTGTGAATTTTATGATAGAAAGAGAGCAAACCAACCGTCACCATGGAATTTCTTCTCAAAGTACAGAACTTGTGGGGGTAAGGTGAAGTGGAAGTCGAGGGTAGAGGAGAAGAAATCATCGCCATTTTCTTCGGTGTCTTATGGTATCAGAGGTTGTCGATTGTTATTCATCAGATTTTGATCGTAAACGGAGTAGAAAAGATAGAGTTGCTAAAATCCGATCCGTACCCGTAACCCGATTTATGCCCCGCCGATAGGTTTTACCCGCTCTAGACCGGGTTTGATTTTTTATAGTAAATTTTTTGGTAATAATTATTTAAGTTAATTTAAACCGTTAAATATAAACGTAAATTACAAATAAATAATAAAATTCATGTTCGTGTTAAATAAAATAATCAAATTATTAAATTAAAGTGCCATTTTTAAAAGTAAATTAAACTATGTAAAAAAAAAAAAAAATTAACACCACTATTTAATTTTTTTGTATTTTCTTTTACCATTGTGAAGTTTCTTAATATTTTAATATTTATTAATACTTTAAACCACAATAATTAATTACAATAGCATTTTTTAAAATATCATCATTTTTTATAATAAATATTTCATTATTTTTACATTAAAAATATTTTTATTCACTTAATATAATTTTAAATATAAATTTAATTCATTAATGTATTAATAAAATTATTGTGATTAAATTTAATTTAATTTTGATAAATTTATTTCATTTTAAATTAAAAAAATATATATTTAAAAACAATTAAATTTCTTTAATAAGAGTAATCATAACATATTACAAAACCAACATAATCTATTGAAGGACCTAAATTAGTTCTATATAAATGAGGGTAGATTTGTTATTTCATTTACATATGAAGAAAGAAAAAAAAAAAATTAGATGGCAACTTCAATCGCAATCTTTCATGGTTTTCTTTCCAGCTAAATCTTCAAGAGTAAGGTTTAAGGTCTCCAAAGAACCTTTTGTTACTTCCTCTCCTCGAGCAGCAAGGAAGTCCTCGATGCTTCCTGGCTCACCAAACCATCCAAGACGATCTGCGATTAGATGCAGATTATTACATCCAGGACACCGCGCCACCACAACACCTTTCTCGTATGATTCACGACAAGCTGATTTTATTGATCTTGTATCACAGACCTTGCAAGTAAAGACCATTAAAAGATCATGTCGTGAGGATGTTTTCATTTTCGATAGAACTCTATGATTTACAGCATTATGCTCGGAGCTGTCTGTTTGTGATATGCTATTAGCGGTCTCACCAGTAGGCTTCAGACTGCCGGCTTCATGATCCTCCAAATCCTCATTTGTCTGGCTAGTTGGCTTTGTTTGTGTCTGAATCCACCTTCTGTACAAGTAGTCTCCGCTGAAGAACGGATTTGCGGAAGGAAGAACTTGTGGAGATGTATCTGCTGCAACAATTTAAGTTTGGAAATTGAGTAAAACCACGAAATGAATGAAGAGACATCGAGGTAAACATTAGCAGAAAACACTAAGTTCAGAGATGGTTACCCACACAACGAGGAGAAACAGAACATATAAGCAGGGAGGGAGAGAATTTAGTGGGCGGAAGTCTATCATAGTGCATCAACTAAAGTTAGCGTTCCTTGAAAATTGTACCCTTTTCATAATTTCTCATGGCTTTTTTATTGGCTGCCTTCTTAAATTTTCAACCAGCTCAGTTTCCATTCATAAGTTTTCCTACTAAAGACTGAGAAGAAGGCCACAGCTCAACAATCACGAAAAGGGTAATTCCAATATTTGATTTTTTAGCTCTGAACCTCTACACACCCATCTGAGTTTCATTGCTTTACAGTAAAGTCTCCAGTTCACGCACAATGAGAAACATAAATGATAAAGATAATTATTGAGAAAAAGAAACCGGTAATTTGCCTTCTAAACCAACATCAGAAGTTCAAATGCATGCAAGATATCCAAAACTCTTTCAAAACCCAATGTTTCTAAACCGACATCTGAATTGAATATATTCAGATCTTCCCTCTCTCATCTTAGCTGGATTGAGTCCTAACAAGGAAACCATTACGTAATTAATTAAAACCAACCGTGGAACCTGGAACTATAAAATCTATTACTCCTAAAAGATTGATAGAAGGACCTTAAGAAGCTTCGAATAAAGGGAAGTGTTTTGGTAGTAAAAGTAGCCACTAAACCTATCTTTTCAGTCACTATAATTCAGAAACCTTTCTCCATTAATCATTCCATCAGAATATACACACAGCCTAATTTCTATAACCCACCGAGAAAAGAGAGAGTGATTCCTCAAATCTGCTGGTCGTGACATAAGCACTTAACACAAAAATACATGACTAAGGATTAAGATAAGAAAAGTTAGTAACAAAAAATCATTAGCTTAGAGATGGTGGCATAACATGCAATCCTATTTGAGTTAATCATTATCTTTCTTCTCAGACCGAACCAAGAATTCAATGGCAACGATACCAAGTTTGAAACAATAAGAAAACGTAGGAAACTGGCAGAGCATCGAAAAGTACTTCTCTACATAAACATTTGATTTCTCCCCTAACCAACCTACTGCTTAGATGAACACAACAACTTTTCTAAGCTTTATTCATGAAAAGGTTATCTTACATTTATACTTTGATAACCAGTTTTGCCACTGATGCAGAAAAAAAAAAAAACAGAGAAAGGAGCTTTTAAAGGAGAAAAAAAAAGTGAACCCCTTCATAACTTTGTTTCCCAATAATGAAATATCAAAAAAGGGGGCCATAGTTCCTTCTTCCATTTCAAATGGAAGTACAAAAGGCAGAATAAAATTCGTCTTTTAAAACAAAACATTTCATTAAAATATCATAAACAAGTTCTCAAATAATTTAATCTGGATAACAGAACAAACCCATAATTTGAAATGCATGTTTACAAAAATGAACCCTAGAATTTTTGAAATAAGAAATGAACCCTAGAATATACGTTTAATCTCTTATAACGGACCCTACCAGCAGCAAGCAATTCCAAATTCTTTTGCAACCCACAAAAGGTATTTGGCTTAATAAGAAAAACAACAAGTTTCCCAATCGATTTGATTTCGGTCGAATTAACTCTCTTCATTTTCTTCAAAGAATCCCAGTCATGTACGCCAAAGACTACATACTTCACAATTGACAAAAGACAGCAAGAAATTAACTTTTCGAACTGATAGGAAGAGAAAGGGCGGTTTACAACGAAGAGTAATCAAGAAAAATTAGTACTCACATCAACGAAGACCCTGTCTTATAACGATTAAAGAAAATAAGTTGTTTAGAAACCCAGTAACCACATAATTATATACATGTACGTGCTTGAGAGAAGGGAGCTCACCTTTGAGAAGAGAGGGCCTCGGCTGATTACGGGCAAGAAGAGAAAAGAGTCGCCGGAGCTGCACCGTCCTCGGCGCCATGAGGCGAAGCTTCAGAGTCGCAGTATGTTAGGGACTCGAGATCGAACAAAGAATGAGTCACGAGTCAAAGGCCTCTTACTTTCCTTGAAGAAGATTTTTTTTTTTGTAATAATACAAAAATAATTATAATTATTAGTGGATTAGTTATTAATTGTATATAAATGGAGTATTTAAGAGGTTTAAACCTTAAAATATTATTTAACAACGAAAATGACGATCAAAAGAAATAAAAATAATTAAAACTCTATGTTCTTAGTCTCTTCGAGAATTACGAAAATTCTTGATTAGAATGAAATTCAAATAATCTTTTAAGATTTTGAGAAGAATTGTTTGGAAAGCACAGTATAAGGAAACTTCTAAGTTGTCTTCAAATGAGAACTATAACCTATCATTGACCCTTTATGCTAGAATTAGTCAGGACTGTGATAGGCAGTGTGTTATATGTATATATATATATATATATATATATAAGACATTATAAAGATCACACAATAAGAGCATGTTAAGGTGGACAAATACAATGTATGTAATTTAACTATCACTGTCAATGTAAATTGTATGCTGATTTACCAATTTGTTGATAAGTTTTTTTATTTTTTTGACCAAAGAATCAAGAGAAGAAGATCAATTCTACAAATTGCTCCACCAAAATCACCCAATTAGACAAAAAAGAAAGAAGAATTCAGAACCTACGGCGCCAACTTTTGCACCGTTCACCATCACCATGATGATGATCATCTGGGTGCCATTGACACAGAGAACTCAACGGGCAAGACTATCTTCTGTTCCCACTCCATTGATTCAAGATACAATTTTGACATCAACCCGGCAACTCGACCCATATCAGGTCTCTCCTCCGGATCCTGCTTCACGCACTCCAGCCCCACCAACACCATCTTCTCCGCCACCTCCACCGGGTACGAATCCTTCAGTCTCCTATCAACCCACCTTCTCAACCCGACGCCACCTCCACCCACCACCTCTCGCGCACTGTCGATGATGTTCGCACTCCTATACCCACCGGCCGCACTCTCATCACAGTCGTACTTCAACGCCTCTTTCCCCGAAATCAACTCCAACAGCACAACCCCAAAAGCATACACGTCGGACTTCTGCGTTGACACCCCCGTCACCTTCAACTCCGGCGCCATGTACCCCTTCGTCCCCTCTATCTTCAGTCCGTTGCTTTTCGACTTCGACAGAATGGGACGGTCGGTGACGTCTCTGGCTTCGCAGAGCTCCGCCGTGCCGAAATGGCAGATTCTGACCCTGAGAGGATCTTCGGTGACGATTATGCTCGTGCTCTGTATATGGTTATGGACGAAAGTCGAGTCCAGACCCGAGCAATGGTGGATATACTCCAGACCATGCGCGAAATCCGCCGCGATTTGGGCTCGCAATACCCACCGGGAAAGCACTGTGAAATCTGGGTTCCTGGGATTCCGCAAGCAAGTCACGAGGTTCGCTCCCGGCACGTACTCGTACACGAGGAAGACGTAATTCGATGAAAGTGTAGCACCCAGTAATTTGACGAGACTGCTATGGTGGCTCCGGGAAATGACCGAGAGCCGATGAGAGAGCTCCGACGTGTTTATTATCCGGCGCATCTTCCGCTGAAAAACGACGACGTCTTTGCCCCGGAGATTGCACCGCCAGGAGGTTGACGAGGAGGATGAAGATGAAAAGGGTTTAGCTAAGAAGTTGTTTGTAGCCGTACGAATCTCGGAGAACTCGTAGATATGTGGGTTTTCCGGCAGGACCGACAGGGGGGATTTGAGTGACAACACCGATGAATTCGATGTGGAGATACCGTAGCTGGAGCTGGTTATTGTGGTGCTTGTGGAATTGCTTGACCGAGTGAACAAGGTTGAAGTTGGTGATGATTTATAGGCTTTGCTTCTGTGCGATGGCTCGATCACACTCGTGGTCTTCTTTGACCTGCACATGGAGATGTGAAATATTAGGGTTTTGCAGGTTTTGATGGGTTTTCAGAGACGAAACTGCAGTCGCTTCTTCAGGGACTGAGTTGTGTTGAAGGTAACAGAGGAGCATTACAAGACTGCTTTTGTTTTTTTCTGTAGAAAACAAAATGGAATTCCGGAAGTTTAGTTGGTTCGTCTCTGTCTGATGATCTGATACTTAAATAGGAGTGCAGATGTTCAACGGTTGAAGACGATGAATACTTTAAACATTTGACTTGTAATAAATAACACGATTCTATGTTTCCCATAGATTTTTCTTATGTATAATTTAAACTGATTCTTAGCTGTGTGCTGACGAAATATAATCTTCATAATTATTTAAAATATAATATAAATACTATTTATCTGTATAAAAATATATAAAAAACTATTATATGTTAAATTTTAACAAAAAATTTAAACAAATAAAAAATAAAATATTATATAAATTAATTTTATGTAAAATAATAAAAATTTAAGAAATTATATAAAAATTTTCTTGAAATGTATAGTTTCTTATATTATAAATTATTTTATTTATAAATTTTTATAAATTATGAATTTAAATTTTAGTGATAATATATAATTTATTACTCATAATTTTTAATTTAATGAAATTGAAATTTATTTTATTAATACATTAATGAAATTATAATGATTAAATTAAATATTATTTTATTAATTAAATTGGATAATTAATTTAAGTTTTTTAATTAAAAAATAAGAAAAAGAACAAGTGGGGTGCCCCTTAGAATTAGAAATAAGATTTGTCCTGAAAAAAAAAAAAATGAATATTACAGCGGGGTTCAGGTGTAATATAACAATTGACTAAGATCAGGGAGGGACAAGTGGGGCCCACTGCCTCTCTCAAATGAAGCATATGCTACATATTGCAATCTTTTACTACAATATAATATAATATATTATATATTGTGTAACACCCAACATTATTTTTATTTTTATTTTTATTTATATATATATAATTATTTATTTATTTAATTTAATTTAATGAAAAAAAAGGATAAAAATTTATTAAAAATTAAATTGAAAACAATTTAAGAAAATGTATGAAAATTTAGATGTGTGCTGACGAATATAATCTTCATAATTATTTAAATATATATAAATACTATTTATCTGTATAAAATATATAAAACTATTA